AACAGCCAGTTCAACTGGCACTGGGAAGCGGCAGACAAACGTATTTCATCTCACGCCTTGCCCTGGTGACTTTAAAACAGGTATTGCTGAATCGGTGGCTTGGGTTACAGAAATCGGAGATCTTCAGTAGCATCCGAGAGCTTTCTGCACAACGTCGCTGAGAAGCAGATCAAAGTGGGAACAGTAGTTCGAGCAAGGTTCACGGATGGAAACATACCCGCTGAAGTCATGAATGTTAAAAACGCTAAACCAGAGAGGGGGATGTCACTCGTTACGAACCAGTTGTTGAAGGCTTCTGGGCTTGTAACACGGGCTGCAGCAGAGGACTTGGAGATCATTCCTCACTTTGGTTTTCTAAGCCATTGCTCTCCAAACTGGGGTGTGCAAGACAATCCATCGGGATGTGGGAAGGAAATATTTGAACTTCTATTTATTTTCATTTTATTTTTATATTTATCTTCTCGTACAGAGATGGCATGTTCTCAACAGTAACTGAATTCCTTACAATACGTTGTAATGAGACAGGGAGCAACCATGAAAATCTCTCGTACCACATGGAGATTTGCTGCTTATCTCGCAGCAAAGGGCTTAAAAGAGCTGTCGAACTTAAAGGAGTTTTATTTTACAAAAAGACAAGCGTTGCAAACTTGCTGATGACAAGTTGCTGGCAGGAGTATGCTACCTCGCAGATACTGTCCAAAAAATAAACACGCTTAGGTGCCCCTTCAAGGTAAAAGTGCCATTGGAATGACGAGTGAGAAAGTAACTGCTTTTTGAAAGAAACACATGCTATGGAGAGAGCATTTGCTAAAAACCCCCAAATGCAACACCTCCCAGTTAGTTTGCAAGCACAGCTGGCTGACACCAGGGAAGATGGACATCTACCAGCCAAGAAAACCCTTTGCCTAAGCAGTGGATGGATTGAAAAACAAGTATCAGGGTTTAATAAGCACGGCTGATGATGAACTTCTTCCACTTGCATCTACACATCCGCATGAGGAAGGTTTCAGAGCAGTGACAGTCAGTAAAAACAAGCATCAAAATAAACTGGACCTAGAACCAGCCCTTCGGATGGCTGTATCCCAACGTGCTAAGCAAAGACACTCAAAATGATTGAAGTGTAGTCAATCAAATACAGAGCCCTCACTATAAAATATTGTTATTATTCACAGTATTTTTTTAGCAAGAGAAAAAAGGGAGTTGTACCATTGAGTAAAATAAGAAAAAAATGTTTTAAATTATTGTTCATCTTCGTTGCCTGCTTTTTTAATTTCTACTACCTGTGTATGTCTTATAGGGTACCTAATATATTAGTACAGGAGAACATATATATGAATTATAAATAAATAAATACACATATATTGGGGAGGTGCATGCTCAAAAAGTTTTTACTGATAGAAGCATGCCATCAAAAAACACTTTTAAATAGCAGACAGTAATGGCGAGAGGGACCCTTCCTTCCGTCAACCCTCTCCAGCAAGACCCTCAGCCACAGTCCAGCTATTGCACTGACTGTCACAGAACCACAGAATCATTTAGGTGGGAAAAGACCCTTAGATCATCGAGTCCCACTGTTAACACAGCACTGCCAAGTCCACCACTAAACCATGTCAACCCTAAGCACCACATCTACACAGCTTTTAAACAGACCCTCCAGGGAGGGTGACTCAACCCCTTCCCTGGGCAGCCTGTTCCAACACTTGACAAGCCTTTTGGTGAAGAAATTTTTCCTAATCTCCAATCTACACCTCCCCTGGCACAACTTGAGGCCATTTGCTTTTATCCTATTGCTTGTGACTTGGGAGAAGAGACCAACCCCCACCTCACTACAACCCCCTTTCAAGCAGTTGCAGAGAGCGATGAGGGCTCCCCTCAGCCTCCTCTTCTCCAGCCTGAACCCCCCCAGTTCCCTCAGCCGCTCCCCATCAGACTTGTGCTCCAGACCCCTCCCCAGCTCCGCTGCCCTTCTCTGGACACGTTCCAGCTCTGCAGAGACTTTCTACCCTCAAGCAAGTCAACACTCCCGCCCAAATTGTCTGCAAACTTACTGAGGGAGCACTCGATCCACTCGTCCAGATCATTGACAAAGATATTAAACAGAACTGGCCCCAATACTGAGCCCTGGGGAACACCACTTGTGACTGGTTGCCAACTGGACTGAACTCCATTCACCACCACTCTTTAGGCCTGGACAGCCAGCCAGTTTTTTACCCAGAGAAGAATACATCCATCCAAACCATGAGCAGCCAGTTTCTCCAGGAAAATGCTGTGGGAAACAGCGTCAAAGGCTTTACTAAAGTCCAGGTAAACAACATCCACAGCCTTTCCCTCATCCACTAAGCCAGTCACCTTGTCATAGAAGGAGATCAGGTTGCTCAAGCAGAACCAGCCTTTCTTAATCCATGCTGACTGGGCCTGATCACCTGGTTGTCCTGTATGTGCTGCACGATGGCACTCAAGATGCTGACACCAAGGTCAGACTGACAAGCCCGTAGTTCCCCAGATCCTCCTTCTAGCCTTTCTTGTAGATGGGCATCACATTTGCTAACCTCCAGTCAACTGGGACCTCCCCAGTGAGCCAGGACTGCTGACAAATGATGGAAAGTGGCCTGGTGAGCACTTCTGCCAGCTCCCTCAGTACCCTGAGTGGATCCCATCCTGCCCCATAGATTTGTGTGTGTCTAAGTGGTGTAGCAAGTTGCTAACCATTTCCTCTTGGATTATGGGGGCTTCATTCTGCTCCCCATCCTCCAGGACAGGGGGCTGGGAACCCCGCAAACAACTGGTCTTACTATTAAAGACTGAGGCAAAGAAGGCATTAAGGATCCTGGCCTTGTTCTCATCCTTCGTCACTATGTTTCCCCCCTGCATCCAATAAAGATGGAGATGCTCCTTAGCCCTCCTTTTGCTGTTAATGTATTTATAGAAACACTTTTTATTGCCTTTTACCACAGTACCCAGATTAAGTTCTAGTTGGGCTTTGGCCCTTCTAATTTTCTCCCTGCATAACCTCACAACATCCTTGTGGTCCTCCCAAGTTGCCTGCCCCTTTTTCCAAAGGTCATAAACTCTTCTTTCTCTTAGTTCCAGCCAAAGCTCTCTGTTCAGCCAAGCCAGTCTTCTGCTGGCTCGTCTTTTGGCACATGGGGACAAGCCTGCTCCTGCACCTCAAAGATTTCCCTCCTGAAGACCGTCCAGCCTTCCTGGGCTCCTTTGCTCTTCAGGACTGCCTCCCAAGCGACTCTATCAAACAGCCTGCTAAACGGGCCAAAGTCTGCCCTCCGGAAGCCCAAGGTAGCAGTTCTGCTGACCCCGCTCCCTATTTCTCCGAGAACTGAAAATGCTATCATTTCACGACTGCCATGCCCAAGACGGTCTCCAACCATCACATCACCCACAAGTCCTTCTCTGTTCGCAAACAACAGGTCCAGCGAGGTGCCTTCCCTCGCTGGCTCACTCGCCAGCTGTGTCAGGGGGTTCTCTTCCACACACTCCAGGAACCTCCTGAACTGCTTCCTCTCTGCTGTACCGTATTATTTCCAGCAGACATCTGGTAAGTTGAAGTCCCCCACAAGAACAAGGGCTAGCGATCATGAGACTCCCAGCTGCTTATAGACTATTTCATCTGCTTCCTCATCCTGGCTGGGTGGCCTATAACAGACTCCCACCATGATATCTGCCTTGTTGGCTTTCCCCCCCCAATTCTTACTCGTCAACACTCAACCTTTTCATCACCATCGTCAAGCTCTAGACAGTCAAAACAGTCCCAGCCTCTCCAACGACCCCAGTACACAAACCTGCTCATTTCAGCGTGTCCATGGGCAGATCGCTTCATTGAACATGAACCTGATCTAAGAGCGACTCCTCTGAGTGAGTAGATGAGCTGGGAAGCTCTCTGGGGCCAGCTCTGCCTCCTCTCCTGGCAAACCTCTGCGGGGCAAGAGACGCCCCCAGGACATCCCTCGATGCTCAGGGTCTGCTTAATGTCACCCCATGGAAAGGTCCTTTGGAGCACATGGCATTAGCTCAGCACGAAGGGACACGTGGGTGTGCTCCACAGCTCTGCATGTGAATTTATATATAAGCAAATAGCAGCGTATTTACATGCCGCTCAGTACTGGTGCCACATCCATCTGCGTCCTTGCAACAAATGGTACAACTGCCGTTTTGGGTCATTTACATCAAGTATCTGATCTCAAAGCTCGTAAAATAAGCCAGCTAATGAAGTCTTCTCCAGACATCCATTAAGAGTCTATAATGCTAATTTTATGTAAAAATACAGTAAGTTTCCTCATTGAATTAACATTACAGACCTGTAGCGACTTTTACATCCACTCCGGTGGAGGCAGGAGCGCTCCAGGCATCCCCCTGGGGAGTGGTGCACCAGGAGAGCAAAGCGAGGTGAGGCTGAGCATGGCCTCCTGCTCCCCAGCTTCTGTCCCCTCTCCCTGGGTGACAGAACAACTCCCCTCCAGTTCAGCAGATCTGCACATCCCATCACACCATAAAACCCACAGGACAGCCACTTTGCAACAGGCTGATTTGTAAAGCGGCGTTCACAAGCCACTGGTGCCCTTGGAACATCAATGTGGGAAATCCCCTGCGCCTCAGTTTCCCCTTTGTAAAAGCAGGATAAAAATCAGCTCTTTATAACAAGGTTATACTTGTCGTTAACCTTGTATCTCCCTGGAGTATCCACAAAGGTTATGGTACAGTAAAGCAATGCCAACACAACGCCAACGTAACACCAATGCAACGCCAACACGATGCCAACGTAACACCAAAGCAACGCCAATGCAAGGAAGTCCGGCTGGTTTGCTACTGCCACGTTATCTTTGGCTTCAGCTGGGCTTACACGGAATAAATCCTGGGTGCTGCAGCCAGTCATGTCTCCCCTTGCAGAGGAGAGGGAGTTGAGCAAGCAAGGCAGAGGCTGCAGCACTTCCAAGGCGATGGGGACAGAGCAGAACAGGGCCACCTGCGGGGACGGCAGCACTCACCCAGGCGGAGTTGGACTGGTTGAGCTGGTTGAGCATGACGATGGAGGTGCAGCCGTAGTCATACACCAACCGCCAGAAGTCAGTGGTGGTGTTCTGCAGCGGGTGCAGGGTGACGATGAAGGCAGCACTCTTGGTGTAGCTCTGCAGAGAGGGAAGATGAGCTCCGTTAAGGACATGGCGGCAGCACCAAAGCCACTGCTGTCGCACTCCAAAAAAACAGTGCAACCAGAAGATGAGTGCCACCAAAGCCATCTTCTCCATGGTTGAGCAGAGCATGCCCTGGTGCTGAGGAGATGCTATAAAAATGGGTCTGAGTGATTCCTGCCCTTGGTGGGGACGAAAGTACCCGTTCTGCTCTCGGCTCTCGCAGGGAAGGGTGTTTCACACAAATAACTACGGGAAAGATGTCACCTTTGAGTCAAGAACACGCAGAAGACGTGGCTGCCAGATGGCCTCAGCACCTAGGTCAGCCGCCCAGTCCTGAGCGAAAGCATCACCCACGGCATCACCCCCACAGCACCCCAAACACCTCCAGGCACCCAGAGCAGCAAAGAGGCAACCGGGTCAACGGTCTTTTCAGGGAGGAAAGGAAACCCAAATGAAAGAACCCGAGAGGCTGCAGGAAGGGGCAGAGCGGGGAATGTACTTCTCGCTCGTGCTTCAAACGAGACTCGCTCCCTTGGACACCGGCTTGCTGAGGGATGGGGAGCCCATGGCAGCACCCAGCGCTGCATCAGTCAGACTTTTAAATTAACACACTTTAGTTCAAGCCCCCTCAGATACAGGAACAGAGCAGAAAATGCTCTGTACCCACAAATTAGCACAGCGCTCTGCTCATGAGGAGTCCTCTGGCCGCTGCAAAACCTCCTCGGTTAGCTCATGGAAATGCCCTTGTCAAACCTTTCCTCCTGCCCTGTCCGCGAGGCAGCAGCGAGACCCCCGCTTTCCGCCCTCGAGGAAGGCGATGAGAGCCGCGAGGCGAGGGGGATTTCACCAGGTGTTGACCAGGCTTGCCTTGTCACCCGCAATCCTTCGGCACCCGTGTAAATGACAGCAGCCGGAGCAGAGAAGCGTGCTGACAGATGGACAGCCTGACTGAGCAAACTGCTTTGGCACTTAAAGAAAATGAGACTTTTTTTTTCCCCCCCAAAGAGGGAAATGGGTTTTATCCCTTCAGCGAGAATGTCATCCAAAGGGCTTTTTCTGTCTATAAAAAAATTTCTATTCTCTGACCCTGTAGCAGAGATTAAGGGAGGCTCAGTGATGTATAAAAATAAAATGGATATGCAAACACCAAGCAAGCTGAAAACAAAGCTCCCATCCCACAGCAGCCAAAGCCCGCAGCCCACCGGGTGCTGCTCCCCAGCCACCACCTCCGCTTTACAAACTGCTTTTTGCTGCGAGAGCAGGTAACAGGGAGACGAGAACTGCATGAAGATAAATAACCCACGGGGTGAAAAAAACAGGGCTCAGCCTGGTGCCGGTGCTCAGCTGCGACCAGGAGGGGTCTGGGCAAGGTGCCCAGGGTGCGGTGGGGCTCAGCACTGCCCCTGCGAAGCACCCGGCTTGTTTCAAGGAGGGGAAAGAGGGTTTGGTGATAAATGACCCATCGCTTGGTGCGGGCTCGGAGCTTGCAGCAGCCTCTCTCCTCCGCAGGTAGGAAATAGCTTTGCCATCACAGGTGTCCTTTCTGAGTGCACCGGGGGGATGCACAGCAGCTCCGGGAGCAGTTCAGAGACCCCTGAATTGCACCAGGAGGATGCACAGCCCAGTGCTGGCAGCACACGGGGGGCTCGGTGCGGCCAAACCCTCCCAGAGCTTCCTCCCCCTCCTGCGCTCCATTTTGCTATGAAATAAATGAAGACCCTTTGTGTGCGGCTTGTGAGAGCAGCCGAAAAGCTCTTTCAAGACAAGCAAGATGCTGCTACACAAAAAAAAAAGGCTGAAAGACCCCGCGTCAATCGACAAAAAAAAAGGCTGAAGGACCCCGCTTCACTGGTGCCAGCCCTTCCTCTCCCCGCACGCAGCTGGGGGCTGCCACGTGCCTTTGTGCTCTGGTGCAAAACGAGGCCGTAAATTCAAACCGAGCCAGGTTTTGCCGTGAAAAGCTGCCTGAGACAACCCAAACCGGCCCCTTGTCTCCCCACAGCACACTCACATCGGTTAAGGCCGCGTTGATGTAGTTGTTGCTGTCTCCGTCCACGGAGATGAGGAAGGGAAGGCATCGGTCGGGCGGCAGGACGTCCATGCTGCGGTTCCTCTCCCGGTTGCGGGGCAGGAGGGCGATGCTGCACTCCTCCACATCCAGGTGGGGAGTCACCGAGTTCAGGGTCTGCAAGTACACGTGCTCCCCTTAGCTCCCTTCCTGCCAACACCGGGGCCAAAACCCCCGCCTGCTGCTCGTCAGAGCCTGCTGGTGCCAATGGCGGTGGGCACCAGGAGGGTGAGGAGCAAGAGGGTGTTGCAGGGGGGATGCAGGGGTTTTGGGGTCGCTCACCTGAAACTCCTCCCGCAGCTGCGAGGAGTTGCTCTGCGGCTCTATCCTCACCATCTCCTTGTAGGTGGGCTTGAACTCGCTGGCGGGGATGCTGGTCTCCCCGCACAGGCAGGCTTCCAGGATGGCGTCGTGAATGAAGACGTACTGCTCCTTTCGGCAGGGAGGAAAGGGGAGAGGGCTGAGCCTCGCCCCACGTGTCCCTGGCCGGCCCAGCACCCGCTCACCCCCGTCTGTATCATGTTGATCCTCCGCGAGCACAGGGTCTTCACGCAGTTGTAGATGTCCACGACACCCTCACACTCAGCCATGTCCAACATAACATCCAGCACGATGTAGCAGCCAGTTCTCCCCGTGCCGGCGCTGGGGATGGAGGGGAAAAACACGGCAAACACATTCCCAGTCCGCACAGCGTCCACATGCAGCCCGAGGCGCCAGCGGGTGTGGAGCAAGGTCTGCACGGGCAAGGGCTCAACATACAGCCCCTGCCCATGGATGCGGGGGAGCCAGGGTCCAGGCAGGGCTGCCAGGACCTCGCGGGCCTTCGCAACCACAGCCCAGCTTTTTTTTTCGTGCCTTCGCAACCACAGCCCAGCTTTGCCTTAAACCACCCTCCCCACCACCCACTCAAACACACCGCTGCAGCAGCCCGGGGGCTGTGTAACAGTCAGGCAGCGCATGGGAGGGTGGATACCCACCTCTAAGGTTCATTTTTGCTTTAAGACAGCAAAACGTATGCTTTTTGCAACAAAACCAGCAGATAAAACATCTGAGCACTGACAGTCCTCCGGGACCCCGTCCCAAAAGGGCTGACGGAGGCAGTGGGAGAGGAGGATGCTCAGCACCGAACCCTGAGAGCGCAGGGGGGTACTCCTGGCACAGAGGGGGTGTGGATTCCCCCAGGAGGGACCCCTGGGTCAAGGCCGAGCCCAGCAGGATGCCCAGAGCCAGACGACCCAGCTGTGGCGATATCCCAAATCCTGGCCCGCTTGTACTCGCAGCTGAAGACCTACAAATGCTGTGACACCCCCCTCCGACGCGTCGGGAGCAGCACGGCTCCCCCCGCTTCTTTCCTACAAAGTCTTTTCCAGTGAAATACTAATTTCTGGGGCTGATGAATCACTCTTCATGATTATCAGTGATTACAGGCTACGGGCACTAATCACACTCGCTGCTGCCGGTGAATGAATACTGATGAGGCAGTTGACAGGGAGAAATCAAATAAAATAAAAAAAAAAATCCCTGCCGCTCATCAGCTCCTCCTTGTTTGCCCAGCAGAGGGGAAGCCATTAACTCATCGCGTGGGGACATTTGCTCAGGGGACAGAAAGCCACCGCTCCTGCTCAGACATGCCACCGGTGTCTTCCCAGCTCCGGCGTTCCGGTGGCTGAGCCCCGTGGGGACAGCACCGCGGGTGCCCCAGGAATGGGGCTGTCCTGCTGCCCCCCCGCTCCTCTTACGGCCAGACCCAACGTCCCGACATTGCCGCCAGCAGCGGTCGAGCTGCCCATCACCCCGTGCCACACTCACCCACAGGGACAGAGCTGTGTCATCAGTAACAGGAGCTGGGGCAGCACCCAAAAAAGTGCTGCTCTCTGCTTGCCGCTCTGGCCCAGCCGCAGCCCCCCCATCCCTGCTGCCACCAGCCCGGTGGTGACATTTTACAGCTGGATGCCATCGTAGAGGGACACCCAACCTCACACCATCAGCCCCAGCATCTTCTCTTGCTGTGAACCTGATTTATACATTTTATATTTCCCTGCTGAATATTTTAGCATCATTCAGAAGCTTTTAGCATCACTCCGAGCCAGAGGCTCACCACCCACCTAAAGCACAGTGTGCTCGCCCCAGGGCCATCCATATCCCCCTTTGGGAGTGGGAAGCTCCCCCCACAGCCAGCTCTGCCCCATGGCCACGCACATACCTGCAGTGGATGACGATGGGGCCGGCGTCGGGTGGCGTGGACGCCTTCACCCGGCGGATGAAGGCCAGCAGCCCTGTGGCATGGTAGGGAACACCGTGCTCGGGCCACGACGTGAAGTGGAACTGCTTCACCTCGTGCCGGGCCGAGTAGCCCCGCTGCAAGGGAAGGGAGAGGTGGGGTGAGGATGCACGGGGTGAGCAAAATCCTGCCCAAGCCATCCAAACGCCCACTTTTCTTGGGAATCCATGAATCTTGTCAGCTCAGCACGCAGCCAGATGGATCACACAGCAGTCGGCTGCTTCAGTAACCCTGCAACTCCCTCCTCCCCAGCTGCAAGAGGGTTAAAAAACAGCCAAGGAGGTAGAGGAGGAGGCAGCAGCAGCCACGGGTCCCATTCCATAAGCATCTTTGCTACCTGCCCTATAACTAGACAGTAATTTCACATTCCTGTAGATTAAGGAGTAAATTGCACTCGCTCCATCCCCAGGTACCACGCCGGAGAGTAATGGTCACATAACCTGTGCTCCAGCCCGGAGGAGAAAAAGCATCCTTTACTCTTGCTGTAATTACACGGTGCTCACTCGGAAATTAAACACTCGCTCACTGCCGAAACCAAAGCAGGGCCAAGCCGCTCGCCCCGGCGGAGGGAACAGAGCCAGGGAAAAGGCAAAGAAGAAGCTACCAGCATCCCCAGGGTTCAGAGGCTGCACCTCAGCCAGGGGTGAAAGCACCATGTTGGGGTAAACAAATAGGGTATCGGTAAATGCCAACCCCGTGATAGTTAGAGAGGCCCAAGACGGTCGGTTCCCTGCCTGCGAGGGCAGGGTCGGGCAGGTCGCGGCTGGCAGGAACGGTACCGTACCCGCTCGAGAGCGAAGGTGCGGACAGCGTACTCAGCCAACGTCTCCGACTTCACCAGAGTGATCTTGATGTCCCCGTACATCTCGGAGTCATCTGGCCAGTATTTGGAGCATTTCACCTGCAAGGAGAGGATGGGATGGAGTTTTGGCTCTGCGGAAGAGGCTGCTGGTAGAGCTGGAGCCCAGAGGGAGAGGGACGGGATGGGGTCCTTACCCGGCCCACCTCCACCAGCTTGGTTATCATCACGATGCTGGAACAGTGCTCCTGCCACACCATGCGCCAGAAGTCGTACACCATCTCCTGCTTGGGCCCTGTGGGATGGAGGAAAGGCCACCAGGGATGGATGGACACTGCCAGCGGAACCCGGCCACGGCAGCGCCGCGATGCCACCACGTCTCCCCTCCTGCCTCTGCGGCACGAACATCCCCGCAGCATTTTAAGCAGCCTTTTCCCCCAGGGATGTGCAGTGCCGTGGGGCGGCAGGAGCTGCTCCACACTGCTACCGCCCCGTTTGGCCCCAAATTGGCCCACTCCCTCCCTTTCTTGCCCACACAAAGTTAAATCCCAGCGGGAACAAAACCTGGAGCCGCTGAACAGCTGGCTGAGAGGGCAGGGAGGGGGCAACTCACCTTGCGTGGCTATGAAGTGGTTGGACCTGTGGTATCCCTGCAAGGGAAGCAGAGACGTCAGTCCCAAGTTGGGGGAACACTGGAACACTCGAGAGCTGAGGCACAGCCCCGTAAAACATTTCCCAGTCACCCCAACTGGTGGCAACTCCCCACGTCTGCCGGGCCAGGTCCTGGTCACCAGCACAGTGCTACCCACTGCTGCAGGAGGAGGTCCAGGAGTCACCCTGCAGCCGGTGTGCCCTGTCCTGGGAGGGTGCATGCCCCACATCCCTCAAAAAGCTCCCTCATAGTAAACCCCAACCCTTGTCCCCATTGTGCACAACCCCCAGCAGCACCCCGCGGGCATCCTGGGGTCCACCAGCTTGACCCCAGCTCCTGCCGGCGTGGCAACACTGCCGCCAGAGCACCGCTACGGATACCCCACAGCAGCCGCACGGCGCTGAGCGCCGGCCCCGCTCCCTTCCTTCACCCCAGCTGCTTCCTGCGGCCATTCCCAACACTTAACAGGGACGTGCCAGCGTGAAGAGCACGTCCCAGCCAGGCCACTGCCAAAGGGACCAAGGACCCAGCGTCCCACCGCTTGGCCATGGGTCCAGCAGAGTTCAACCACATCACACGCACGGAGGTGACGGCAGCCCCTCCATCCACCACAGGTCCTTTCACGGGGGATTTCTGTGGGTTGAATTCAACCCCTCTGTCCCACACACACAGCCCCTGTGCTCCATCGCCATGGGGAGGACGTGCCACGGAGACCTCGCTTTCCCCTTCCCTGGACCATACCCACGTTTATCCACACGTTTTCCCAGCCTGCCTCTCCCAGATGCTATTTTACACCACGCTGCCCGGTACGACGCCTGGGAGGAGATGGGAGCACAGAGAAGGGAGGAGAGGGGAACCGTCTACTTACTTCTCGGTTAATCCGAATCTTAACGATCCCATTGGGACACAGGGTTGAGAGAAAAAGATCAGAGACAGACAGATTAGTGAGGCAGAGATCAAGAGACAGGTTAAAGCACTGGCCCCAGAGCAGGTCATGGAGACTCACAGGGGAGAAAGGACACACAGGGAAAGGGGACAGGCACAGGGCTGCTGCTCAGGCACAGGGAACCCATCATGGTGGTCTCAGGCCAACACGGCCTGATGACAG